GTGGGAAATAGAGGGTATGTAAACTATCTCAAGTTATATTGTTCATAAGCGGCAGAGTCAGGGCTGGGAAAAAAATACTCCCATCTGTAGTCTGAACTACTGCACTATATGCCATTTATATTTCTTAATATTAAAGTACATTTAGATTTGCATGAAAAGCACAGGAATTTGTGATCGCCTCATCAACTGATTTAGCATGCTGTATACTTTAGTTCCAAAGTTACTATAGGTCCAAACGTGTCAATTAATGTCATGTCTTTTGTATTTTCTTTCCAGAGAAGAGCTAAGGCGTAGATGAAATTCACGACTATGATAACCAGGACTCAAGTGGTTCCTCCCCTAAAGCAGGGTTCCAAAAATAAAAGAATTGAAATCACAGTACCTTTATTAGCTGTCCTAAAGAAATCCCACTTTGATCCCCAGTGCAAAGCTACAGTGGGAGGTAATGTTCCCAGTGAGAACATGAATTACAGTTGATTCTCATTATTTGCAAATTCCACATTAGAGAATTTGCTTACTCACTGAGATGTATTTGTATCCCTGAAATCAATACTCATTAAAGTTTTCCAGGTCATTCGAGCACACAGGCAGAGTGGTTCGCATTCTCAGCTAAGACCAAACACTATCACACTCTGCCTCTTGTGTCAGCTCTTACACTGTAAAGAAGTGTCCTTTCTGCAGTACATTCAGGGCTATGCTTTTCACATTTTCAGGCTTTTGTTGATGATTTTGATGTTTGAGATGGCCCCTAAGTATAGTGCTGAAATGCCTCATGTACTTCAGTGTAAAAAGGCTATAATGTGCCTTACGGAGAAAACACCTGTCACACAATCTCCGTTCAGGGCTGTTGGCCATGAGTTCTATATTAACAAATCGACTACATATTACACAAGGCCTTTAAACAGAAACACACAGAATACAAAGGTATGTACTGGTCTGTTGATGAAAAATCCTCTGACCAGAGGCAGGAATGTGGCTCCATATTTTTCTTAGGAGCAATGATTCAGTATTTGCTAATTCAGTGTTCATGGCAGCTTTATAGACTATAACTGCCATGAATGAGAACAAACAGTACCTTGTTGAGGAATACTAAACAATGTGTGTGTGTGGACTGTGAGTTATATGTAGCTTTTCTAGCTGTATGTTACTTAGGATAAACATGAGTAGGCCATTGATGGGGACATCTCTCCCTCTCTGTCCTGGAACTATCCCTCTCCAAGCCATAGGACAGATCATCCAGAGTAAAGACTCACAAGCAAATTACAAGAAAAGCAAAACACACACTGACTAGTATGGGTAAAGATGCATGCATAGTTCCTAGTGAAGAAATGGTGGCAGAATTTAATGCTCCACACTGTCAATGAGTTGCCAGCTCATGGAGCTTTGATGTAGGAGAAGAAGGTAGGAAAAACAAGTCATTGGTACCTACAGACAATCTTTTAAAATACTAGTTACCTAACCCCAAATCTCTCAAGGACATTACGCACACATTGAAGTGAAATTATGAATAACATACAGTATTCTCAGGGAAAATGTCCAAGAATTGTTTTCCTTTACATACTTGAAAGGTATTCAGAGATCTTTGGTCAATAAAGTGTTTTTAATAAGATTTAAAATATGAAATAAAATGCATAGGTGATTTTTTTTTTAGATCTGGTTGCTAAAATTTAAGAAAAAAGCAGAGAGAATGCATCAAATTATAGTGATCAAAGGTGCTATGTGTATCCGGCTGCTATGTGTCTGCTGCTGGCTGGGCTGTGTCCCACCTTGAGCACACAGGAGCAGCAGCAAAGTTCTGTCCAAACTTGAAAATGCCTCTGCTCTCTGATAATTCAGTTCCATGGTACCATCTCTATTCGGTAAGATCAACCACCTAAGAATTAATTTCTCGCTGTGTGAGTAAGGATCTTCCAAGTTGTAACCAAGGCTATAGCAGGAAGATAAGGTGTGTTAGCATGTCTACAGCTATTGTCTAATTGACTGTCACATCGAAGGCTGGATTGGATGGTTGGCAGAATCTAAACAGTACTGAAGATTAAGATCATCCAGAGAAGATGTTCAGACCACCCGGCATGAGAGGTATGTTCCATTGGCAGATATATTTTGGCGACTGCAGTTGGCCCACCAATATCATCCTTACTGCTTTGGGGGCTTCCACTTGGCACCACCTGGGGTTCTTGGCCCCAAGGCTGTCTCTAGCCAGAGAAGCCTGCTCTCAGATCATGCATGTACTTTGACGCACGCTGGATGTGGCGAGTGAGCTAATGCCTCCTAGAAGCAGTCCTTGACCAATGACTGCTGGATAAATAAAAGCTGTGTGCTAGGGCCACCTGGGTGGCTCAGTCAGTTGAGTGTCTGAGTTTGGCTTAGGTCATGATCTCACGGCTTGTGAGTTCAAGCCCCGCATTGGGTTCTGTGTTGACAGCTCAGAGCCTGGAGCCTGCTTCAGATTCTGTGTCCCTCTCTCATTCTGCCCCTCCTTTGCTCATGCTCTGTCTTCCTCTCTCTCTGAAGAATAAATAAAACATTAAAACAATAATGTAAAAAATAAGAACCATGTGCTTAACTTAGGCTCCCAGAGTTCCATCTCCTGTCCTCGGATGAAGCTCCAGTTGACCGTCACAGTAACTGGATGGATAACACCATCTTAACTGTCTGCCTTTCCTTTCCCACTATCCTACCATGTCTTCTCCACCTTTCCAATAAATTCCTTGCATTCCAATCCTTATCTCTGAATCTTACTTCCCACAGAGTTCCCTACAAAGGGTTCTAGTCTCTGGCACAATTATATTTCTCATTGAACATCAAGTAGTTGGTGTCCTGGTTTATACATTGGTCTTTTACTAATTTGGCTAGAGGAAATCAGTTTCCCTGGGGTCACAGATAACTCTGGGTAGATGGACAGAATACAGAGTATAGACAAGCAGAGTCAAGTATTAGTCTAAGAAATTATTACTTTGTGAGATGTTCTCTCATTTACCTAATACATGTTTGATCTCATCTAGCAGGGGGTTATACAGACCTGTTGCTATCTTTGATTTTCTCCCCAAAATTGTAGAGAAAGATGCATTGGGGGTAGGGAGTATATAATTTATAGGTATGTTGATGTAACAGGTTTCTACAATATCAACATTTCAACCAAGTTAGTGAGGCAGATGGGTAGGGAGACCCAGGTGATGTAGACACTCCATGTCAGAGATATGACAATGCTAATAAGAGCAGAGATGTGTATGTGGTTCTTTATAGAAGCCAGGTAGGCTTTAGATACTCTTGTAAGAACTAAATGAGTTAAGGGGCACCTGGGTGGCTCAGTTGGTTAACTGTCCAACTCCTGATTTCGGTTCAGGTTACGATCTCATGGTTTGTGAGTTCAAGCCCCTCATTGGGCTCTGCTCTGACAGCTTAGAGCCTGGTTGGGATCCTCTGTCTCCGTCCCTCTCTGCTGTTCCCCTGTTCATGCTCTCTCTCTCTCTCTCTCTCTCTCTTTCTCTCTCAACATTAAATAAACATTAAAAAAATTATTAAATAAGTTAGTAAGGAGAGCACTTACCAGAAAAATAAAAAGACTATAATTGATTTAGATATTTCTGGTAACTGATACTAGTGAAGAAAGAGAGATCTAGGGCACCTGGGTGGCTCAGTTAAGCTTCTGACTTCGGCTCAGGTCATGATCTCATGGTTCATGGGTTTGAGTCCCACGTTGGGCTCTGTGTTCACAGCTAGTTCAGAGCCAGAGCCTGTTTCAAATTTTATATCTCTGTCTCTCTCTGACCCTCCCCTGCTCACACTGTCTCTCTCTCTCAGAAATAAATAAAACATTTAAAATTTTTTTTAAAAAAACGAAAAGAGAAAGAGATCTAAACTAAAAATAATATTGACAAAAAGCCCAAACAGTTTGATGTCACCCTAGGAAAACTGTGTTATCAAGAAAGATCTGTGAACTGAACGTCAGAGCCCACATCCTAGGTTCTGCCACTTTTTAGTTATGGGACATTGACGCCTCCAACCTCACTCCCTGTCACATCTGTGAATCTGCAGAAAGCAGGGGCGATCTCTTGGGGCTGTGCGAGGGCCTCTTCCCTTGGCCCACAGAGAAAGGAAAGAACAAAGGATGCTTGCTTAAATCACCGGTGTGTTATAGCTGGTCAGCAAGAGAACAAAGACGTGGATGTCAGATAGAGGGTGTCCCCACCTTTGGTGAGTTGTCTGTGCATTTTGGTTATTTGCCAATAATAGCGCCGAATCACATTATGATCATTATCTGAAGAGCGATGGATTCTTTCAGTGCGACTGCACACCCGGCCACCCCCCTCGCTGGCACTGGCCGCTTGCAGGGAGCTGCAGTCCGCAGGCGTCATCTCTGCAAAATGAACTTTTGCATGCCTGACCCAGGGGAATGAGGTGGGCCCCGTCCCCTCAGCTGCACGAAGCTCAAATAGACACTGTCACGTTTGCCTTTGGGGACCCTCATTTGTGCCACACTCCCTCTGCTGCCTGGCGTCTCTGTGTCACGCTTACTCTGCAGATTATTACCGTCGCTGACCTCCTGTGGGGTCTCCGAGCTGTCATGGAAATGGAATGTCTGTCTTTTGTGCTTTTGTAGGTAGAATGTGATCGTACTGCTTTTTTTCCCCCACATTTGTAGGTAATATGTCCTTCCCTGCCAGTTTTTATTAGCAGAGTGAGAACATCATTTCCTACAGAGCGGGTGCAGCAGAACCTGTCACTACCTTCATAAGGCTTAGCACGGTCTCAGTGACCTTTAGTGACCAGCGGGCTTCGTATGTTCACATTCTCCCAAGTCAAGAGCCCAAGAAAATAAAGATCGATACGAACTGAATTGTGTGATGCTTTTAGGTCTACTCGTATATTGCCTTCAGGTTATCTTCTTTTTTAACAGAGTTTCCTTTTTTAAAAAAAAAAAAAAGAGGAGGAAGAAGTAGGGTGAGGAAGGCAGGCAACGCCGGCCGCAGGTGGCCGAGGCCATGAGCAGCACTTACCCCCGCAGACCGTGCCGTCCAGGCCTTCGCAGCGGCGGCCGTCGCATTCACACGTCTTGCCGTACACCCTGGGGTCCCCCGGAGGGTAGCAGGTACACTTGCCACATTCGCATTTACCTGCAAAACGCACAGGGAGGGCGCACTTGTTAGGAGGCCACGGAATCGGCCAGGCTTTCAAAGGACACAACTAACACACCGCGAAGCCTGTGCCCGCTGCGCCTGGAAATAGTTCCACAAATGACATTTCTTCTCGCCTCCGGCAAGACCAAGTCCAAGTGGCGAGGGGGCCGGGGGCCGGAGTGACGCTTTTGTTTCAGTCCGTTTTCAAGACTACTTCCCTTATTAAACCCTCTGGGCGTTTCATCTTCCACTTAGTTTGATGATACCAAAATTGTATCTATTTTGACATAATTTAGGATAACGTCATTTAAAAAATATTTTGTATATTTTTATTGGGGTTCTATCTGCCACATAAGCAAACAACGAGGTGATGTTTTAGGACGATTTGGCATCAATTTCGTAATTCATAGAACTCATTTTAACAGGCAACATGTGTCAAAGTGCATGGCCCAAACCCCAGTATTATTCTTGACTTGAAATTCTAAAGGATAAGCAGTTTCTGGAATGACTTTGATTCACAGTTTGGGAATTCCTTAACTATTATCGTTATGGCTTTCATCATCATTTCTTGAGTGGTAACGACGTGTCAAACACTATAATTCTCTGAATCCCATCATTTGGTTTTCACGTTGCCACACATTGACCAGCATTAGTACTGCCATTTGACTAAACAGGAAACAGAGAGGTACTGAGGTCAAGTTCCTTTCCACAGTGAACCGGCTCATAAGGAATAGATTCAAAATTTATATCCGTTCTTATTAACCTTAAAGTTTGTGCACTTAACCATGAAGCCACACTGCATTTTAATATACTCCACACAGCACCATGAGGCTGTACAAGAAAGAAAATCTCCCTTTGTCTGAGGAATTGGTGCTGGTTTGGCAGAAATCCAGCTGGGTGAGTACTCCAAGACATCTGCTACTCTCTGTCATTAGCCCAACCATCATAATTACACACCCACTGAAATGATCATAAGATGCTTCAGGGCTGACCCTGCAATGTTGTTAGTCATTCTGTTGCTGCATTTGTATCTTGTTAAAGAAATTCTGAGTTGGTAGATGATGGAAGAAAGGAAAATTAGTATTTCGAATCGTATAATTTCAGAGCTGTAATTAAAGATAATCTAATGCAGTGATTCATAATCTTTTCTGGCAGAAGTGGTGGGGTCATTGTCCCTTTGAGAATCTGGTGAAAGATATTGCAAGAGAGGGTGTTGTTCTGGCTGCCCTTCAACCTGTCTCTCTTTCTACTTAGAGACGGGCCCAAGTTCAGCAGGAGGCAGAGCCCTTTTCCTTCCCCAGGGATATACTCCCTCTTCCTATGCGCTGGTGGACAGAAGGGGGACACACCAGACACCCTCGGCCATGGCTTTGAATCTTGAGGGCGAGAGCGAAGGCACAGGGTCTGTGGCAGCGTTCGCAAGAGCAACAGCCCAGCAGTGAGGGTCCACGAGTGGAGAAGCTGGGCACCCAGTTCCAAAGCAATGGCAGCAGGGGCTAGTTCTCGGCAGGGCCTTCCGTCCCCAGGCTGCCGCACGAACTGGTTGTCCAAGCTTGCACTCTGCACCCAAACCCTTCTAACACAGTCCTTTTCCATCCCAGTTAAGGAGGTTGGTTTCTGTGGCCCACAGACAAGAACTCTAACTGGTGGTCCCCAGATCTCTCCTTGGAAAAATACCCTACTACTCATTTATTTTTTATAAAATGTCAAGAGGATCCATGATTTCCCGCAGTGAACTTAATAGAGGAGGAAACCCATGCAAGCAGAGGCTAAATGATTTATCTAAGGCCAGCGAGGTAGACATCAGCAAGGGTGGCGCCGGAACCCAGACTTCCTGAGCCCCAGTTACCTTCTGGTGTACACAGACACATCTGCCCTCATCATGGGTGTGTGTGTGTGAATGACAAAAAATATCCAGACTGTGGAGACAAAGAGACTAACTACAGAACCATCAGCAGCACAGCCACAAATAGTCAACCCGTCCTTCACGGACAGATTCGGGAAATATCTGCCACACGATTCCCAAGAGGGAATGCAGTCCACTTGTCAAATCAACATCAATTTTTGAATTTGAGGGCATGTGTATTTGTGGTGACAATTTAACTCACATTTTAAGGCATTCGGGAAGTTTCCTGGATATGCATTATTGGTTTCTGTGCCTCTCAGGAAAGGATGGCAGAAATGCTGGCGTATGTGTTTGGATATCAATGTTTCATTTATTTTGCCATGGATCGTTTCTGTCTTGTATCTCTTCTGTAAAGTTACACTGAAAAGTGTTCTTATTCAGTCCTGGGTTCACTTTTTTCCCTCGTGGATTATAATTCAAGTATCCTTTTTCAAATATCAGAGAATAATTAGCCACTCTGCAATTCTTGGTGTTTTTTTGGCAATGAATCTGTTGGGGTTTTAAAAAGCTCTCTTAAGCCAACTGTTAGCTGAGTTACTGTATGGCTATAGCTGTAATACAGTTTATAGGCTATAGAAGCTTCATAGGGAAAGGCAAAAAAAATCATACATCAAAACAGGCTAATTTATTACAGACAGAAAGTCAGTGAAGAGTAAGTTGTTCATCAGGCCACATATTTAAGTGCCTTATTCTGCTGTCCAAGTTCACAACTTCAGTCCAGTCCCAACCAAGACATACACTTAGCAGGCAAATTTCTGCTCATCTTTCAAGATACAATGTCACCAAATCCATGATACTTGCACCCACTACTCACGTACCTCCACAAATACAGCAGGGTCAACTGCCTTCTCTTGTGTCCTTATGATGCTTGGATGAATATTTATTGAACAGATGCACTAAACAATCATCACAAGTAAATAGTTTAGTAATATTCCCACAATGCATGCGCTTTAATGACAGAACCTGAATTTAGAATAAGAGGTCTCTTCCAGAATACATACACCTTTCCAATTGCCAGAAAAACTTTCACAGTTACACCAGTGAAATATGTCCCATAGCAAGCTCATCAGCTTTATTCACAAATCTACTTCTCTTCCTGTGTCCTGTTATCAGGAGAAGGTCACCATCATTTGATCTGTCACCAAATCTTTTTTTTTTAATTTTTTAACATTTATTCATTCTTGAGAGAGAGAGAGAGAGAGAGACTGCAAGTGGGGGAGGGGCAGAGAGAGAGGGAGACACAGAATCTGAAGCAGGCTCCAGGCTCTGAGCTGTCAGCATTGGGCCCGACATGAGGCTCGAACCCACGAACGGTGAGATCATGACCTGAGCCGAAGTTGGACGCTCAACTGACTGAGCCACCCAGGTACCCCGATCTGTCACCAAATCTTAAAAATACAAGAGGATATAATAGATTCCTTTCTTCTTTTAATAAACTATTCTCCTGCCTCCAGTCTGAAATTTCATAAGATCCACTTTCTTTTTTTTTTTAAGTTTATTTATTTATTTATTTTGAGAGAGAGAGAGAATGAGCAGGGAAGGGGCAAAGAAAGGGAGAGAGAGGATCTCAAGAAGACTCCAGACTGTCAGTGTGGAGCCTGATGTGGGACTTGATCTCACGGATCACGAGATCATGACCTGAGCCAAAATCAAAAGACAATCTACCGGGCCATTCAAGAGCCCCAGATCCACTTTCTTAAAACCTGTCTATGATTCTGTGATCCTCTTTCAATTGATGTTCCCACAGGACCTTCAAGACAGAGATCAAATTCCTCAACAGAGCTCTCCACACCTGGTCCAGCTCACCTCTCCAAGTATATATCCAATGTTCACAGTACACTCATACTCAGAGACTTTGCCTTCTGCTCCATTTCTTCTGTCTGTTGAGTGCTCTACCACTTTTTCTATACCTTCCAATCCAGAATTCAACAGCCAGCCCAGATCTCCTCTCTTCCATGAAATCTTCCTGGCCATCCCTGTTGGGTTACCTCAAAGAATTGTTCCTTCTCTCTGATCCCACAGTAATTTGTTCACAATACTAGTAGATCACTGAATGCAAACTTTATACTAGATAAGTACATGCTTGAATTGACCACAAATACTGAACTCTCTGTGGTCCAGGCTGACAGTGAGATTTATATCTTATTGGTAGCCAGTGAAGTTCTCTGTCGATGGAGTAGGAAACACTGACAGATTCATTGTCTTTTACTTTTTTTAAATGTTTTATTTATTTCTGAGAGAGAGAGAGAGAGGGAGAGAGAGCATGAGCAGAGGAGGGTCAGAGAGAGAGGGAGATACAGAATCTGAAACAGGCTCCAGGCTCTGAGCTAGCTGTCAGCACAGAGCCCAACACGGGGCTCGAACCCATGAACCATGAGCTCATGACCTGAGCTGAAGTCAGTCACTTAACTGACTGAGCCACCCAGGCACCCTTGTCTTCTACTTTTTGAAATAAGAGACTGAATCGAATCTCCTTGCTTTATTTGCTAAATGATATTTCAATTTTAGTATATGTGCTGCCAAAGCGAGCACAATTTCAATGACTCTTTTAGTGTTGTGGAGATATAAATGTAGCTTCTCAGATGACTATCAATATTCACATAAGTAAGAATGAAGGGTAACAGAAGTTTGTACATCTAGCGCTAATAAGTGCCATTTTATGTAACAAACCGGGAGAAAGATTCTAAAGAAAGATATACTCAAAGAAATACAAATAAGCCAAGTAATTTTTGAAAAAATAATTCAAGAACAGATGGAAAGGACAGAAATAACTATCTGAGAAGAAATTAATTCAGCCAACGTCATCAACATCGTCCAACCAAAACTTACGTGAATTTTACACTGAGTCTGTCCATTCTTGTCCAAGCAGATAATCTTTAGGCACACACAAAAAGTCAATCCAATGATATCATTTTATATGGTATGGCAATCCCTATGTACTATATTTTAAGGCTCAGACATTAGCAAAGAGTAGTGAGCTAAGGCAGATATCTAGAAGTTCTCATTTAAAAAAATTTTACTTAAATATTTCAAATTTGACACTCTCATAAAATAAAGAAAAACTCTAAAACTCACAAAATGCAGTTCATAC